ATTAAACCCTCTCTTTTCTTAATTTAATTATGTGACACGTCATCAAAATTGTCTAGTTGGCACGCATAATAGTAGCTATGATACTTTCATTACGACCAACCTAAGCAAAAAATATAATGTGAAAGCTAATTAATAAGGAGAGAGACAAATTGAGTAACATACTCCCTCTGTATCAAAATAAGTGTCTCATAAGTGTCGCAAGGTTAGTGCAAGTTACTCGCCACTATAAGGAGAGAGACACTTATTTTGAGATGGAGGGAGTAGCTAGTTACTCACACTATGAGTAACATCACACATATTAAGATAAGATGAGTCTCCTATCTAATAAAAAATATTGCATGACATCACGCATACACATGTTACTGGTCTAATTTACTCCCCACTATGAGTAACCTAAATGATGATTCAGCTAACTCTGGTACTTCATTACTACTGGTCGATCGATCGGTAGTCAGATCATCGCATCTCACGTCTACCCTGGCTATATATGTAATCGACATATACACATCACAAAAGGAAACAAACACTCCTTATGCGCATGGGTCCAAGTTATTAGTTTGGCATGACCCCACAGCTAAGGTTCTTTTTGAAGAAAACTTCCAATCTATTCATCAATTGTCATGGCAGTACGGAGAACATTAAAAAGAATAAAAATTACATCCAACTCAATTTACTGCCTTGCGACGACTACAAGCACCGAAGGGACCCTCAACTAAGCTAACACAAGGGGAATCTATGCAGGTTCGCCTGGCCTGATCATACAATGTTGAGTATTTCTTGTAGGCATGCATGCATGCATAGGCGATGGTTTATATAACCACTACATACTTTAATTATGTACTTTCATGATTTAAACACTTTTATATTTCATTACGGAGGGAGTAGTATATAAATTTAGCTCATGCTACCTTACAATATTACAAATATTAACAAAAGAGCTAGTTAAAACACAAGAAAATAAAATTGGAGATAGTAATTTCTGTGCTAGTGTATACTGTATATACCAGTCTGGGATTATGCTGAAATATGCAACTCATACAGCCTAGGCGTCGTCGGTGGCCTTTTTCTTGGCAGCAGCGTCATGTGCCATGAGGTGTAGACGGGGAGAAAGAAAAAATAGATGACGGATAGGGTTACGCAATGGCAAGTGATAAAGCAACCCTTATGAATGGGCCTCAACCCCCTAAACTAGCAAAGCGATACTAAACTTCCCATCACCTATCATACATCTACATGAGCCTCAAGATTAACTATGAATCATTGTACGCCCATCTATGATTCAACATATTAGATGGTGCTTAATCCGCACGCGCTAATGACGTCCGCTGTCGCGTTCTCTCCCGATCCGTTGCGATCTCGTTTGTATTCCTCCGATCCGCCTTTTTTTATTGAAACTTCAGCAGGTCGACCACGCCTTAATTCGCATGTCGATGCAACCAAATAATTTTGACAACTTGTTTACACAACTCAGAGAATTTGAGTAAGACCTGACTTGCCAGCTGTGCGGTGCTCTGCTCTGCTGACCACACCAAGATTTCCATGGCAGTTGCTGAGTGTGCATCGCAAATAATTCATGGTGTGGTCAGCCATGTGGCTCACGGCCTATCCCTGTTAGCCCAGAAATGATGTACTCCTGTCGACAAAATCATTTGAAACAGTAAGGTGGGTATATCCGTCAAGCTAGACAAGTCTGAGCCTGCACCGGTACAGAATCAAGTCTCCTAGATGCAGCTTGTTCACATCTTCAGACTGTCGGACATGGATATCTCTGAGCTTCTTTCTGCAAAATTGGGTAATTAACTCCCAACTTTTTGACTGCGCCAAGCCAAAATTTTGCATGTACCTGGTTCTGTGATTTGGTTTTGGAAATAGATAATCTGATCTATTATTTTCATGTAAGGATGGCCCGCTATGGTCCATGTAAGGATGGATAAGGATAAGGGGAGGTCCGGACACACCCGCCACGTAAGGTTGGCCCGCTATGGTCCATGTAAGGATGCATGGCTCGCCGGTAGAGGGGATGAGGGAGCGCCTAGTCAGCACCCTTAGCACCAGTTTCCCCAACATGTGCTCATTTGCCGCCTCGCCTGGGCGGCCCTATAAAAATGCCAAATTTTCTGCATCGATCGCTACGCCGACCATGTTTGCTCGCTCAGTTGACTAGGTTCTTTGCAGTTGTCGAGATGACGTGGACCATTTGACTAGTTGACAGGTCCATCATTGACTTTTCAAAAAATAACAAAAAGGTAAAAAATCACAAAAAATAGAAAAAAGATTGTGAATTTAAAAAAACATGGATTTTCAAAAGAAGTTCACAAACTTCAAAAACGATCACGAATTTTCCAAAAAAAAACACACTAGAAAAAAGTTTAGCCATTTAAAAAAAGTTCACAACATTAAGAAAATCATCGATTTTGAATAAAACTTCACAATTTGAAATAGTTCATTAATTTCTAAAAGAAGTTCATCGATTTTGTAAAAAAATTGAAAGTTTGAAAAAATTATTGATTTCATAAATGTTCATTGAATTTGAAAAAAAATCATTTTAAAAATCATTTAAAAAAAATCATCAGTTCTGATATAAGTTCACCAATTTTGATAAAAGTTCATTGATTTGAAAAAAAGCTCACTGAAAAAATAAAAGAAATATATATATATAAAGAAAGAAAAAGCCTAAGAAAATCAGTCCAGAAATATCCAAAAAGAGAAAAGGAAAAAAATGATTCCCGAAACCAGCGATCTTGCTCCC